TTATCCTCACCTTCGTCAGCTGTCTTGCCAACCTCAGTGGAAGCTGCACCGGTCTTCCTTCTGCTGGACTCATCTTCCTTTGCCTTCTTCTCATCCTTCTTCTTTGTTTTATCCTTCTGATCTTTGTCTTCCTTTGCCGTTCTTTTGTCTTCCTTAATCTCATCGTGTGTCTTCTCTCCTTTGCTCGCCTTCTCCCTCTTCTTCTTATCCTCAGCCTCAGGTCTCTTGTCTTTCATGTCCTTTAACTTCTCAGGCTTTGTCGGCTTGACATCAGTTGAACTCGAAGCACCTGTGCCCTGGTCAGATGCAGCATTCTTCTTCATGTCAGCCTTTGTTTTTGCCATGTGTCCTATAGGGCCACAACCAATTGTGACATGTGTTCAAAACACAAGAAACATGTGAACACTTGTTAAACCCAGGGTCCTCGGGATGTTCTCAATAGTAACCAAAAATTGGCATCTAATATGATTTGAGCCCCCCTGTGACACGGCAGTGACACGCGGCCCCTCGATATAGCATGTGACCTCCTTGATATCTAAGTGGCCTCATTGATACCTATGTGACCTCCTTGATATTGCTAAGTGACCTTTTGATTTTGATATATCATGACCAGTGACACGCTAATGACACGCAGTGACACGCATGATTTTATTGTGTTTTGTGAAAAAAAGATGACAGGTACAAATCAATTTGCAGCTGGCGTGCCATTGTGTTGGGAGACTCAGCATCACTCGATATCAAGGCCCCACTTTTGACCCCAAGCATTGTGTATATCACACAATATCGATATTCGATCTAGTTCGAAATTGAATTTGTGGATCCACGATATGTATACGTGGTTCAGGCTATACATCGATCACTGCTGATCAGGTTCATCATCATCCAGATCACAACGGCAATCCCGGGATACACAAAGCAGTGCGAGGAATTCTTCCCTGGGCGGATGGATTGTTCACTGGTCCGGATGGTTAGTCTCCGTAATGTGTCATAAATATGTCGTGCTAGCTTGCACATGGGTGGGCTTTGTGTGGGGATAAGATCCAGCCTGGTCAGGTAGTCCTCCAATTGCATAGCCCAACACGAAATGCAAATTTTCTCCATTGCGAGGATCTCCAAATAGTGTAGCCATTGCTCACGTGTCATGATCACAAAGAAGCTACCCCAAAAGCCGTTGAGCTAGCAATGGCTTAAAAAATAAATCTCACTTAAAGAACGACTTAAGCTCGATCATTCCCATCCGAGACATAACCATCAATCGATTACCTTTCAATCAGTCCCTGCTAGCATGAGACCACTTTGAAGGTTCTGGTGGATGGCGCATGCACACACGCTATTCTATTTTCACCAAGCCCCCGCTCTTGATCCAAGTTCCAATCCGAGGCCTCTCATCAAAGATATCGCCAGTGGCACTCCTCAGGGCTCTTGAGAAGGTCATCAAGGCACCCGTCGTCCTCTTCGTTGGGATCAGATGGATCCAATCGAATGTCCTGCAACAGGCTAGTCGATATACATTTGGCAATAACGTGAGTTGTATATCGATGCATAAGAATCATCGTTTCCATAATCGAATGTTCGATCGATCTGTATATATACGTATAGGTTATAGATCAACAAAAGCTATATCAATTTGTAAAGCCCCAGTCCACTGAAGCAGGTGGTGGACCAGTGGGAGATAGTAAAGCCCCAATTGCCAGTCCAAATTGTAGTGGATACTCACCTGACTTCTTCAAGTGTTTGGCCTTGCCATTGATCTTTTTCACCCCTGTGCTCTTGTCGATCACCACATCCACCAATTGAGAAGGGCCGTGAATCCTGCAGTGCATAGTGCCAGCAATAGAATTGGTGGAGAGAGGGTGAGCTCTACCGAAGCTAAACTCAAATCATATATATGCGCGCTGACATGCATTGACAATTGCAGTTACACAGGTTAGGCACCTCAAGGAGGAATCACACACAGACTCTGTGGGACACAGGTAAAACCAGCTGGATTCAACACTACCCCCTGCAAGCAATAGTCTTCTCTGGTAGTGGGACTGGTTGTCATGCCCATAGGTGGACACTCACGCCTATTGTTCAGATTTGTTCAGGAAAGTGCACAAAGTTGGGGCATATAATGGATCACTTAGTGGTAGTGTACTGCAACTCAACCCAAGAGCCCTCCAACCCTGATCCTGCGCAGGGTCTCTTTCAGCATCTTCACATTCAAAGGCCGATGCAGGGAGTCAAGCTGGTTCAGGGTACCATGAAGCCTTGGACCCAGGGCAGTGGTCATCATTTGCGTGTTCTCACACTGAAGGCCCCAAAGCAACATCAAACAATTCTGATTAACATACAAGTGACACAGTAGGTTTCAATGTGGGGGCGCCCAAATCACCCATGCAAAATGCCACCCTCCTTGAGCAGGAGGTGTTCCATGGGAAGCTCATTCATTCATGGTTCAATGCTGGCATGCATGGATGCAAACATTAGGAAAAGTTGGTCCAATCGCACATCAAATGCCCACATCCTGCATTGAGCCCAGCGGAGAAACCGACGTACTGGTGGCCAGATCCACAATACCTGAGTTAAGTTTGTCAAATCCTATTTATTATGTTCCATACGTGGTGTCCATCCCAAAATGGTTGAGCTGACTTGTCTTAAGCGCGCAGCTTTAACAACTAAGAAAGACTGATCGATGTGTCTTGCCTATAGGGCAATTGTTCAGAATGATTGAAAAGCAAGGCACGGATGATTGTGGCTGCTCAATCACTATCTTCACGTTGCGCTTGACAGCGTAGTACAATCTGAGTTTCATCATGTTTCATCCATGTGAAAGGGTCCCGAAACAAAGTACTGTGCACACAAAGGAAACTCAATCCAGGTGGCATGTAAAGAAGTCTGCGGACTAGGATGTTCGCCAAAGCCACACACCGTTGGTTTTGCGGGTCACCCTCAGGATTTGCCCAGTTTCTACCAGTCACTGAAGAGCTGAGGAAGATCCAAGTACAGCAAGGTGGGCCACATACTACAACTCCTCCTTGCCGAGTGTTTCTCACCTGAAAAGTGCAAGCTGGGACCGCGAGCAGTTTTCGTACATCCACCATTTGGGGGGAGCCACTCATGTCATCATGGTTTGGCCCTGGCACATCATTCATGGTCGTTTTCTCCCCTGCCAAATAAATAGTTGAGTCACACCATGTCAAACCACTGCAGGCGAGGCACAGCCATCAGTATTGTGATGAATCCAATTGTGCGCATGAGGTTGTGGTTTCCAGAATAGAGCACCTTAAGGATTGTCACTGGAATGGTTTGGGAGTCATCCTAAACACCTGATCCTTTACCTGTAGACATCCTTGTAGCCTAGTGGGTGCCCAAAACTGTTTTTTTCTTGTGGCTGTGAATTCTGAATTGTGCCTAGGTGCATCGAATTCCTTTCCCACCCATCCACTCATGCGCAAGCCCTTTGACAGGTTGCCCCTGCCAGCGCAGATTTCAACCTCAGGACAGAGCGTGCTCTGGGTGTGGGTGTGGCCAACCAGAGACTGAACACTTCATGGGTTGATAGGACACAACCATGAAAGGGGTCTGGCATGTACAATGTGTGTTGCACCTTTCATTCTTGTTCTGTTCACCGCTCCTCACGCATATATGCAACCTATATATTTTGGATAGGGTCCAACAAGTTCTACAAGTTCTACCAACTTCATTGCATTCAGGAAACAAAATCATTTGGCGTGCTGGAAGTCTCCAGCTGGGCCAGAAGCAGTAACACTGGAAGAAGGTGCGATGCTCTCATGGCACTGACCCACCCTCAAGACCCTAAAGAGCCAAACACAAAATCTGGTGCGATCACTGGCCATGGGACACAATGGACCTTAAATCTCATTTCAAAACTGGAGGACCTGACCTTTGACTCATTTCGAAACTGTGTTTCCGTTTGTGGTTTGGAAGATGCAAAGGCATTGCGTGCAGAAAGGTGCTTTGCAAACATTTCACTCCGCTTCTCTACAGATCCGATCTAAAGGTGTTACAGTACAGGTAACACATGTGCAACACTGTGAACGCACAGCCACGCACACTTGGGGTGATTGTTTTTCCTCAAAGAACACACATGCAAACACATTGTTGATGGGTTCCTGCGTGCGCACAATGGCTGTTGCCACAAAGTTGCATTGGGCCTTGGAATCTCAGCTCCCAGACCCACCCCAGCAAAATACCCCAGGCTATAGCTCAACCCTTTTTGAACCAACAGCTCAAACATTGTTTGATGGGAGGTGGTTGTTCACAATCACTTTAACCCACATGATCATGCGTTCTTCTTCTTCTGCCGCTTTTTGCGGCCATCACATTCCCCATCCGCTTTAAACCCTGCCGCAATTGCTTTATTAGCAGTGTAGATTTTCTGGCCCTCCGGGGAAATAAACACCTTATAGGTGCCACCCTTCAATTTGCCGTTCATTCTCTTGCGAATTTCAGTCTTCCAGCCATCCTGGCCATCAGCAAGCTGAACAACTTCATATTTCCTTAGTTAGAATTGTTTTCAAACGCCAGAAAGCTAGCATGTCATATATATATAGTAGCAACATCAGTGCACCCCACTGCAAACCGAGGCTCCCTTGCTTACCCTTCTTCTTTTTGGAGTTTAGTAGTTCTAGCTGGTGCTCAGGACATGGCACCCTTGCATTTGCTTTGTCTAGTGCGGCTTGTTGGACCCTCGAAATCACTACTTGAAAAGATGCATATGTGAAGTCCTTCGCATGGACCACCTCCACCAGGTTTTCAGGCTCCTGGCAAACAGAGGGTTGAGATTGGCAAGCAGTTGTGTTAACAGCCAAAGTTATATTTCAGGAGAGCGGGTATATATAGATCGGATCAATATAATCTGCCACTAGCAATCAATGATCTGAGATTCAGCAAGACACAATCCAGAACATTGTTCATTGCCCATATCAAGTGAGTCTTTGAGACCTATCAGACCTAGCATGACCTAGACAGGAAACTCTGCCCCATGTGCAACGAGGACTTGCGGAAAGCTCCTCCTTCTCGCGTGGCGTTGCATTTTTTCCAGGCTCAGCTGGGGGAGCGGCAGGAGATTCACTTCCTGAGCTCTGAGGGGTTTGTTTGTCATGGCTCCCTGGTCCCCATGGGTCTAGATGAAGTGGCCCAATACATCGACAAAAAAAGACATCGAGAGAGAGAGAGGGAGAGAGATTATGCATGCATATAAGCGATATATAAGTAACAAAACTGGATTACAAACCAAGAATCTAGCCCGCTTGTGTCGGTGGCGACGTCTAGGTGGTCGCGCATCTTTCTCTTCCTTAACTTTTCCTTTCACCTCTAAACCTTTCCCTTCTTCTTTCTCTTTTGCCTTGTCATTCTTCGCTTTAGCTTTGGGCTTTGCCTTTTCACAGGGCAAAGCTTTGGTGTCACACGCTCTTTTCTGCTTGCGTTTCAGCAACTTCTTTGCTTGACGTACCACACTAAGGCTGCTCAAACATGCTGGGATGTCATATTTGGGTCCAGGGTTGCATTCCACCCACTGTGGAATCTTGGTTTGTTTGAGCAACTTCTTTGCTCGACGTACTGCAGAAAGACTGCTCAAACATGCTGGGATGTCATATTTGGGTCCAAGTGAAGTCCATCTTCGAATGTTTGTTTTTGGGAATTCCTCCCTAACTCGGATTCCCGCCTTGGCTGCAACCTTTGGTTTTTTCTTTTCATCACTTGAATCGCTGTCACTTGAGCTGCTGTCACTTGAGTCACTGTTGGATGACTCAGGAAGTGGCTCAAAGGGGCTGATGCTTATATCATCCTCACTGTCTCGCGCAACTTTGGCTTTTCCTTTGCCAGTGTATGGGGCCGGATTCTTTGGTGATGCCTTAGGCTTTGCCTTTTCTGCAGATGGTTTTGCCCCTTTCTGTTTTGCCTCCACTTGCTCATTTGTCATGCCACTTGTGCTAAAGCCAAGTGCTGCAGCACTTGGGCGCCCCAATGGCCGAGCTTGTTGTTGCACTTGACTTCGTACAGGTGTATCATGGATTTTGGTTGTCCCAGCAGCCTTTGTTTCCTCAGCTGTTGATTCATCTTCCTCGTCCTTCTCCTCAGAGCAACATGCTTCCTCATCGCTTGAAGCTGCAGTGTCATCTTCACTGTCACATTTGTTGTTCTTTGCCATCTTCTTGTCGTTCTTCTCAGGTATCCTTTTCTTTTTCTGTTCCGTCTCATCCTCCTTCATGCTTTCATCACTTGAAGCTTTACTGTTGTCTTCGGAATCAGCCTCTCTCTGGGGCATTTCTTCATCTTCATTCTCCTTCTTCTCAACCTCCTTTGTTTCTTCATCACTTGATGCTTCAC